TTATGTATAAAAGACATCACAAAGTGCATTTAGCATGATAGGTCCCCTTTAAGATACAGTCTATAAAGGACCATGTGTACACTAACGACGATGTATATGAAGTGTATCACATGTCCTTTTAACTGAGCTTCAAGAGGGCAACTTTCGGGCTGCTTTACAGTCGTAACAGCATGCAGGGAGTTGCATCATCGTGTTCTTTTGGTGATAAAGAAATGTGTTGTTTATTTCTTGTACACTGGAAAATCGTTCAAATATAGAGAATACAACTGAATATAAAATAAGTATTGATGCACGGCACTTTTCTTTGAAGACACAGCTTAAAAAGCAGAGAAATACACAAGCAAAGAATAAAGAAACAGATCAATACGTTTTCTAAATGTGTTTGCCTTGCCAAAACAATTTTTTTTTTTTTTCTGCAGCTCCATTAGTTGTACTTAGCCAGGAAGTGTTTGTAAATTCACTCACGGATGAGCTTGCTTTTTAAAAAATCGTTCCACGATAAAAGAAAATAGAGGAAAGCCGGAAACCAATCAAACATGCTTTGTTTCTTTAGCTTAATCTGGATTAGCTGGATCTGATGTTTTACTCTAGAAGATGAAATATGTGCGACTAATTAAGGAATAATGAAGGACTGGTTATGAAAAATATAAATCTTAATTTAAGTTTAACACTCAAAAACACAGCCAGAGATTGATTTAACCAGCATTCACAGCTGTGTTAGGCTCCTTTTGATAGAGATACAGGGAGAGTTAACACACCAGACAGCATGTTGAGCAGCTTGCAGAGACATGTGTACTGATATCATACATTTGACTTGTGTGGAGATCATGTGTATAAGGTGTAACAACATAATAACAGCACAAAGGTGACGTAACAAATGTGTAACTGACACATGATTTGCTTTAATCAAAAACTCAAAAGAACTTGTGTTCATCAATTCATTAATTGCCTTATTACTTTCATCTGAACTAAACACCATCAAGGATTAAACAGAGAATCTGACATGGGATCAAAGTGTTTCTGTGGATTCAAACGGCTCCATCTGTGTGAGCGCAGCAGTCAGCCCGGATCTCTCTCCCTCTGTGCTTATTACTTACATTCCTAAAAAGCAGTGGTAACACACTAATCTGTTAGGCTCAGTCTTGTTAGCATTCTCTGTCTGCTTGCACTTAACAAATCCCGCATGAAATATTGAGACATCCATTAAAGACTGTCACTCTAATTCTGTTTTGACTACTTGTCCTAATAGAAACTCTCAGACCAAATGAGAGAGCATGAGACAGGCTGCTTATTTGACTGCAGGTCACATACACACCCAACATCTTAATTAAGCGTCAACAGACAAGTCACATCTGCATGGCAGATAAACACACACTGTGCTTTGGCCTACCTGCCTGTCAGCCTTCCATCTGTGCACAAACTTATCCCGTGCCCTCATTGGTCATGTGCGCGTTCGTGTGTGTTGGTGGGGCTCTGTGAGGAAGTGGCAAATTTTCTCCGGTTGTGTATTTTCAAATTCTAGCGCACTCGAGCTGGTTTCTCCGAAATTACCTACCCCACCTTTAAGTTGATCAAATTAAAACTATAAATAGGACGGAAAATAGTCAACTAAAGTAAACTCCCCTTTAATTAAAGCAAAAATAACTAGCCCTACTGGTTCCTTTTTGAGGGTTTCTGGTTAGATGACTGGAATTAGGTTTGTCGTTAACACAATTTTAAGAGACTCAAGAGACGTTTTGTATTAAGACAGCAAATCAGTCAGTAAACAACCTATGTTTTCTATGTATCAAAATAAATGAGAATACTAAACGTCATCACACCGATATTTGCCACCTTTAGCTTAGAAGTGGTGACGGGGATCCATGCGACTACTAGTTACTATGTGGAATTTCTGCTTCTGAATAAAATGTGTGAGTATCATAAACATTTTCTTGCCATATTCCATTAAACAACAGAAACATTGTATTGCTTTTTGTAGAGGGATGCAATATCATGATTGGCCTAAACATATTACCTACACCACTATTGGTCTTATATGAACAAAACCCACATTGAAAAGCCCTTTTTAAGGCAAGAACAGTTATAACAACTCAGAATACTTATTTAAAAGGTGTTGCCTCAAGGAACAGTCATGAAACCACATCCTCTGGGGAGCAGGAATGTTGTCAGAAAAGATCAAGGTATAAAAGATTATGAAATATGTAGGCGAGAGATGTTTTATGCTGTATATTCTCAAAAAGCACCCCTGAGGCAAATGTGTTATCTGTGGTATGGGGCATCATAAATAAGATAGATTTGACTTGACTATATTTCCTTTCCCTGGGTGTTTTTGTCTTTAGTTTCCCCCCCCCAGAGTTAAGGTGGTCTCAGTCAGGTTTAAGCTCAACAGCAGCCTGATGTTGTCTTGTTCCTGCGGTTTGTTTCTGTCAGGTTGCATTTTTTCCGCAATCTGTTGATAAACTGGAGGCAGTATTCCCAGTCCTATGTTCCACTGACTGATAGACTTAGACCTGATATCATTCAGAGGCTGTCTGTATTTCAGTAATACCACATTCTCTCTAAAGAAAAGCATGAAATATTGAGCCATCCATTAAAAAGGGTTTACTGCCTCATGCCTCTCTTACTCTCTCTTTGCCGGCTAATTCCGAAGATCTCTCCCTAATTCTCATTTGACTTGTCCTCATATTTACACAGAGACCGGTATTATCCTCTGAACAAAACGCAATCTGCAGGCTAATAACAGCATGGCTGAAGCTGCCAGCCATTTTGCCAGAGACCGGTGAAATTCAGCAAAAATAATAAACCTTGGCGAAGGTTAAGACGAAAACCAATTTTGAAATGGATGTGGTGTAAGCTAACACTACTTAATTACATGAAAATCAGTGAGCAAAAGTGCCAAGCTGAGCTTTTGATAATTGGCCAGTTCTTGTGACCTGTCAGCCTGCGACAAACACACCGGCATGCAATCCTGTTATTTCCAGCTGGACAGTAATTATATTTTCCTTGTGTCATAAACCTTTATCTAATTCTTAATATTGTCAAGAATCCAAAGAAAAAGCTCAATATGACTTTAGTCTGGACTTCATATTGCTGTATTTTTAGCAGCCAGATTTCTGTTCAGATCACTGTATTTATATCCCATGTGATGTCAAATGAATTAGACAAAATCATTTGATATCCCTCACTCTCCCCCCTATTGACTGCTACATTCCCTTTTTATTCTTCATCTTTCACCTTCATGTAACTATTAATTTATAAATGCAATTGTAATAAATGCATTAATGAATAACGCCTATGAACACATTGATAGCAGATGATGAATGATGCTAAATCCGCTGCTGCATGCTGTATAATTGTATATGGACAAGATTTAGCAATTCATTAATATTGCAAATCTACAAGAAGAAGGATCCATCCATCTTCTCCCACTTATCCGTGGTCGGGTCGCGGAGGTAGCAGTTCCAGCAGAGAACCCCAAACTTTCTTTTCCCTGGCCACATGACCCATCCTTCATGACCGTAGGTGAGGGTAGGAACGAAAATGGCCCGGTAGACAGAGAGCTTTGCCTTCTGGCTCAGCTCCCTTTTCGTCACAACGGTGCGGTAAAGCAACTGCAGTACTGCTCCGATTCTCCGGCCCATCTCACGCTCCATTGTTCCCTCACTCGAGAACAAGACCCCGAGATACTTGAACTCCTTCACTTTGGGTAAGGACTCATTCCCTACTTGGAGTGGACAGTCCATCGGTTTCCTGCTGAGAACCATGGCCTCAGATTTGGAGGTGCTGATCCTCATCCCAGCCGCTTAGCGGCTGGGATGAGGATCAGCACCTCCAAATCTGAGGCCATGGTTCTCAGCAGGAAACCGATGGACTGTCCACTCCAAGTAGGGAATGAGTCCTTACCNCAAAGCACATCATGATTCACTCATTAGAAGCTCCATTAAATAATTGTTTTGTCTAAACCAGGGGTCGGCAACCTTTTTGATATGAAGTGCCATTTAAAAAAAAAAAAATTTATCAGGATCCGAAAATACAATTTAAATATTTTGCACACTTATTCCACGCGTGCCAGGGGGTTGCCGACCCCTGGTCTAAACTATATTTCATCGAGAAGTTCACCTGTCGGTCAAGACTTTGTTTTACTTTCTTACAGTTCTTTTTCATTTGGATTGTAAATGAATTATGCTTTTTGTGTCATGTATGTATGTCACATGGTCAATCCAAATAACAACAATTATAATTTGGACGTACATGAAGATGAAGGATCCATAAGGATGTCAACCGCTTTGAGTTGCCGCTGAAGAATAGTAATGTCACGGGTCATTATCCAGCTGTTGCTTTGCCTCATGTTGAAGTCCTCCTGTGTTCTCAGCACCACTGCAGGAAGTGCGGCCAGGCGGTGTGCGGCAAATGTTCGTCCAAGCGCTCCACCATCCCCCTCATGGGCTTTGAGTTCGAGGTGCGTGTGTGTGACAGCTGCCACGAGTCCATCACCGACGAGGAGTGAGTAACAATCGGCCTCTGTTGTTGTTGTCCTCCACTGAACCTTGAAGTAACCGTGGTCCCTGTTGTGTCTTCCAGCCGAGCGCCCACAGCCACCTTCCACGACAGCAAGCACAGCGTTGTTTACATGCACTACGAGCCCACCACCGGGACCCTGCTCACCTCCGGCAGCGACAAGGTCGTCAAGGTCTGTACAGGAACACACGGTTTATGAGTCTCTGATAGGACATGCGAGCACACACAGTGACACACAGTAACACACAGTGACACACACAGTGACACACAGTAACACACAGTAACACACAGACTGCCAAGGCACAC